AGAAGGAAAGAGAGAGTACAGGGGTGCAGTAGGGAGTGACCTGTCCCCCCCTCTCCTTTAAAGAGTATGACCCTATTCCCAATACAGACATTTTGCAATTAAAAATTATCAGCTTTTTTTTATGAAGAAAATCAACCAGAATTAACAAGGTCAAATATCACAACCCTCTGGTCTTCTACAACTTACTATCCACTTTCAGGTTTTTATCTCTGCCCTTCTGGTTTATCCAGACATTTTTACTTTACACAACTTTCTCTACATTTTTAATTTACATAATCTTCTCTTTTTTCCTTCTTTTCTTTTTAGTGTCTTGACTTTTTTCTTACTTTCTAGACAACATAAAAATGTTTATCAAAGTCTTTTTTCTGATTTTCTTCTGTATCCTAGAATATTGTATGGCTTTAAACAAGAACAGAAACATGTATATACCATAATAAAGTAACTCTAGATTTGCATCAACACATAGAAACCTGTACAAATGTGAAACATCTGAGACTAGCAGTAGCTCTTCTTCTTCTTACCCTAACCAGGGATAATTTGTAGCCAACCCCTCTAAATGACGACAAATATTTATAACCTATTGGATCTGAATGAACAAAAGCCACATACTCTTCTATGAAAAAAAAAGCATAATTTTTCCTAGACAGTGTCAGTACAGGAAAAAGTTAAGGCAAAGTAACTGACAGCAAGGACCTTAATCCACAGTGAAGAATTTGACTCAGGATGGAAGGGAGGATGAGGACAGCAGCGAAGTTTGCAGGCATAGAGTGCCTGTCAGGCAGTCAGTATCCTGTAAGAAAAGGTTGTTAGCTTTACCAATCACCACAACAAGCAACCCCAGGTTCTCTGTCAGGCACCCAAAGTCCTTCCCCTTGCACTGTTCCTCGCAAACCATCTCAGCCCACGCTCTGCAGCTTAGCATCCACAGGCAAATTCTATCTGTCACACTGCCATCCCTTAATCAAGCACATCTTCACCCCCTCCAGACAATGAGCCCCAAGTCACTGGCTTGGGTTTGAAAGTTTTTGGAATGGTCCAAAATAAGACTCAAGGAAGCTGAGTTTGATTGAGTCTCTCCTAAGAGACGTAATGAGGTAACATTACAAACAGATAGGAAAACACTAAGATAACACTGGCAGAAATGAACTGGTATGGTGCACAAAAAAGAAACCAGGAACCAGAAGAGGCTGATGGCACGTTTCCCTGAGGAAATTATGTTTTGCAGTAGGCATGACCTGTACTCCCCATTCAAGCAAAAGGGACCATGTGTCCCTCCCAGGAGAGTCCAGGACATCTCCTGAACCACACCGTGGGGCTGCCTCTAATATGTCCATAGGGCAAAATCCTAGCTTCCAGATTCAGTTAACTTTAGCCTCCCAAAGAAAGAATCATAGAACCTGGACCGGACGAGTGACGGTCAGAACAACAACAAACTTAAGCAAAGAGCACTCACATTACACTTACCAACTGGCCAAGCTAGCAAATGTTCAACGTGAATGGGGTAACGGGGCCGGGGGCTTCTGGAACAATGCACCAAATGTTAGGGTCAAAAAGAAGCCCTCCAAGAAAAGACCATCTGTCACATATGTAATAAACTAGAGTGCTTTATTAATTCCAACAATGAGGAGGCACATGGTGATCCCCAAAGATGGCCACAAACTTCTTTTAATAAGAGTTAGGGGAATTCCAAGGAAGAGAGATTACTCTGGAGCTGATTGGTGGAGGAAAGATTAGTCAGGGAGCTGATTGGTGTGAGGCCTCGTGGTTGGGGACTTTCTGGTGGCAAGGTAGGAAAAGCTAACTTTAGCTAGCAGAAGTCTGGGGGTGCCTGCTGAGCCGGAAAAGGGAAATTAAGGCCCTATTGAGCCAGCATAAGGGGCTATGGGTCACCTGAGGAGCTAGCAGAAGGCTGCAAGATGCCTGCTGATTGGTTGCCCCTAAGTTGTGGTTTTGCTGTTGAGTGTCTGTTGTTCTCTATCCCATTCTAGGGAACTGAAACTAAGACCTGGTCTCTGTCAGTCTACTAGGAGAGTCTGTCTTGGCTCTGATCTGCCCCACCAGCCCTTTCAAGTAGTAGAAATATGACACCATGTGTTTAAGTCAGAGCCCCTTAAGAGAGTCTAGGAGAGCCATTGGTAAATGTGCAGCCTCAGATGACAGGCAACCTCATGACTCTGGGGTGACTGTCTGGGAAAGAAGCAGTTGTGTACTGGAACTGCCCTGAGACTGCAAGACAAACTGGCAAGGAATGGTGGAGTCAGAAAAGTGGATCTTCCCAATTCAAAAGGAATCCAAAAGAAAGTGAATGTGTCCCAGATATCAAATACTGGAATGTTTTTTGTTTGGTTGATTGAAATTTATGTTATCGTTGCTTTGTGACACAGAACTTGTGTGAATGGACAATCAATGTCTGGTGTATAGACACACATGATGAAAGGGAGTCCATGCTCTACACTACCTGGATCATCAGGAACCAGAGAATGTATAGTCCAGAGAACTATAGTAGACCCTTACAGACCTGGCCAAAAAAAAATAATGAAATTATTCATAATATTCAAAATTCAGTGCCGTGTTTAGCCATCATCAGAGAGGCTTCCTCGGGCAGCAGATGGGAGCAGGTATAGAGATGCATTATGTAAAAAGAAAATCTAAATTTTAGGTCTCAATTGAGTCCTTTTCCTCAGAACTCAGGTAACCCTACCATGGAAGAGAAAGATTAAGAACAAAAAAAATGTAGACGTCAAGAGAAATGGTGGACACCAGGAGAACATGGCCCACTGAATCAACTAAGCAGGGCTATAGACACTTACGTGGCAAGCACAGGGCTTGTAAATGTCTGTACCTGGTCCTCTACCCATAGCTGTTACAGCTGTTAGCTTTGTATTTTTGAGGCTCTTTTAACAGTAGGAGTGAGTATGTCTCTGACACTTTTATATGTTCTTGAAATTATTTTTCTCTAATTGGGTTGCCTTGTCCATTTTCAACATAAAGGCTTTTGCCTTGTTTATTGTATCCTGTAGTGTTGTTTGGTTGTTGTTTCTTTGAGGCCTTCTCTCTTCTGAAGGGAAAAAAGAAGGAGAAGAGAGAAGATCTGGGGAAGATGGAAGTTGGGGGACAGGAGCTGGTAGAAGTGAAAGAAGAGTAAGCAGTGATTATGATGAAGAAAAATCTATTTTCAAGAAAGAAATGTTACATATTCTTTTACTCCAAGTGGGAAGAATCAGAGTATAGTCACATTCAAATGAAAGAAAATCCAATTTTAAGAGTGAAAAAGTACCATGTATGCTATGACACATGTCTTTAACCTTAACGCATAGGAAAGGAAGAAAAACTCTGTGAATCTGAGGCCAACATGGTCCACACAGTGATTACAGGATAGTCAGGGATATCCAATAAAACCTTGTCTCAATACTGAGAACTCAAGAACAATGGCAATGGGTTTCTGATCCTACTGCACGTACTGGCTTTGTGGGAGCCTAGGCAGTTTGGATGCTCAACTTACTAGACCTGGATGGAGGTGGGGGTTCCTTGGACTTCCCACAGGGCAGGGAACCCTGATTGCTCTTCGGGCTGAGGGGGGGGGACTTAATTGGGGGAGGGGGAGGGAAATGGGAGGCGGTGGTGGGGAAGAGACAGAAATCTTTAATAAATAAATAAATTAAAAAAAGAACTGAATAAAATATGAACACAAGTTAAAAAAAAGAAAAAAAATTGTCTCAAAAACAAAGATACATAATGGAATTCATTTGTTTTTGGTTTTTACAGGAACCCATAGTTATGAGATATTATATATTTTAGAGATGGTGTCAAGTTTTAAAGAGATTGAATGTTTTAAAGAGATTTAACATTTAAATTGTTTGAATTTTTAAAGACTAGAGAACATTTAGTTGTTGGAATGTGATATTACATTGTGATATTGACATTAACATGAGGTCTTCGATATAAACCAGAAAGGAAAGTTATGCTTTAATAATATTTTGCTCTCAAGCTGACAAATGGTCAGTTGTTTTAGTAAGATTTTTTTTTTTGGTCAATCAACTTGACATAAGTTGGATGCATCTATGATGAAGTTTCATTTCAGGAAATATGTTGATTTAAGTGGCCCATTGGCAAGTCTGTCAGAGATTTTCTTGACTAATGATTGATAAGGAGAGCCTAGTCCAGTCTAGAAAATGCTGTTTCTGGGAAGGTGGCACTGGGTCATATAAAAAAGGAGACTGAGAAACTCATGGAGAGCAAGTCAATAAACAGCACTCCTTCATGGCCTCTGCACCAGTTCCTCTCTCGAAATCCCTGGCCTGAGTTCCTGGTTGAATTCCTGTGATGATGGACTAAAAGTCAAACAAATCTTCCCCTCCCTAAGGTGTTTTAATCCTAGTGTTTTATCACACAAGTAAAAACCTAAGCATGAAAGAAATATTATATGATAATCCTAAACCTAGGAAACAAAACGTTTACATGGCTAGAAATTGGGCATTGGTCTTATCCAGTATGCCAAGTTTTTCTCAATTTTTTTTATTGATTGTTCTTCTCTGGAAGGTAGATTTCTTATAAAGCTAGTGGGTAGAATCATAATTGTGTAGACAAAAAATAAGCAAAGTGATATATTCTAGATAAAGTATGTGCTGGAACTTAAAAGATAGTTTTTATACATAGTAACCACAGAAGATATCTCTTAATTCTATCAAAAATATTCCTTTGTAACCATAAAAGCAGTTTTGGTGCCTTTTCCAAAGAGATTTTTTTTTTTTTAGTATCCAAAGGTGCAATATAGGGTTGATTGTGAACTGATTCCTAGTTCCTTCTCTCATTGGTGAAGGCTGTGAAGACCCTGTGTGTGACAACCTTTGATACACAAATTTCAGCAAAGATAAATTTCTCTATCACTTTCTTGTTGTGAAATTGGAAGTTAGAAGACCTAAATATTACCCATCATAATGGCACAATTTCATTTTCTGGTATATAAAAGACAAAATGTTACACAAGTCAAAAGAGGGTTCAAATCAGCTTTACTAATGGATGGGTGACTACAGCTGAATCTTGAGGCCCAAGTGATGATTCTTTCTTCTCGGAAGTGATGACTGCTGAGCTCCTCTCGGCTCACTCATGAACTTATCTACCCAGTCAGCTACTGAATCTGGAATGTGGAAAACAAATCTCGGATGGGTCCATCATGTGCATGTCCTGCTGATTCCACTTATGGCATAGAGACTGGAAGTCCAAAAGCAGGTCCAAGAAAGGAAGGGCAAGAGAGGAGAAGCAAAAGATAAGCAATCAGAAACCTTCAGCAACTATCTTCCCAAAGCAGAGAAAATTTGCCCGAAAATGCTCAAGTCCCACCAACTACAATAATCCTAGGAAACACTCCAGAGGTGAAAGCATCTCTGAAGGCTTGCTCTTTATTGGCTGTGTTGTGGAGAGCCTTTCCCTATTTGACTCAGCAGATAGAAAGGTAAGTCTCTTGGAAAGGATGAGCGAGTTAAGAGTCTGACTTCTTATAGACAGAGGAAGACTCTGTTTGGCCTAGAAGTGTTTTTTTTTCTTGGTAGTAATTTCTGGCACTATGAAATAATTGCACTACTAGTTTGCTTAACATAATTTTCTGTCTCTAGATTTCTTGTTATTATTTATTTGATCATGGCTTTTTATATCAAAACATACATTCAATACTCATGCTTTTGGCTGCACCTTGAATGTAAATCATCTCCATCACCTGTGATTCTTTTCAGGCTCTCATCACCAGAAGTGAACTTGTTTCCTGGTCCTAGCATGCATCTTCCTACAGTTTCCAATAGATTGACTCTACAGCTTTATTTTAAATATAGCTGAAGTATTGAAAAATTGTCTTTATCCCACAGAATTTATTAGGGATTCTGTTATCATATTAAAATGCTGAACAACTGTATGTTGACTTAGAAATGCAACTTACACTATACAAGATACAGCTCCATCACAGCCATATGGCTTTATTATCCTTTATAATTGAGTGGCATTGAGTGTCAAACTACTCAAATATATCACATTATACATGTGGTTCAAACTAAGCTGAAAATATATAATATTTTACCTACATCATTCTAATCATATGTTCTATTTCAGTATGTGTATGAGTGTGCATGTGTGTGCATGTGTGTATGTGTTCAAATCTACAAATACACATATGGCATTTTTGTGGAAGTTTTAAATCTTTGAGGCTACAAGTTTTTTCACCATAATATTTAAGAGATAAAGGAACACCAAACAAGCATACATAATTTATGTGAAAGTTATGTACAATCTGTCTAATATATACACATACATGTATTAATACCTAAATGCCTCTATATCCATTATGTGGAACCTAATCTATTCCTTCATAACCTGAACTCTAAGTTTTATTATCTTCTACACTCACCACCAGTCTCATTATATCATATACTGACCATTTTCTGGAGCAATTGTTTTCTCCTTACTTGATTCAGGCAAGCGATCACTGACTTCTAACACTATAATGGATATATCTTTAAGATTTGGATTATATATAAATGAAATATATTTGATGGTGTCAATGATACTTCTGAAATCTTTTGCTTAAAGTCATCATGATCTATTCTTTTCTTACTTAACAACAGATAATTTTGAAAATGCTATTTAGTTTGGTGTTAAAATGAGAAATATATTACTTCCAGAATTTAAATATATTAATTTCAACAGATTTTTGAAATGTGAAGGCTAAGTGACTTACCTAGGATAAAATGTTAAAGAAAATAAGAAGTAATTAGAAGAGGGATAATTTTGAATAGACTGCTAGAGATCCCATATGTTTATGACAACAAAATTACTTCATCATATGAGAGAAAAATGAAGACATTAAAATGTCCCTAGAAAAATTTTCTACTTACAAACTTCCAAAGTGAAATTTTCACAGGTTCTACCAAAGGTAAAAGCATTTCTCTGTGAATACTAATTACTGAGTACCTTTGAGAAAAAAAGCCTACAGATATAATATCAAGTGCATTGCACAACTCAAAGGTTCCTGAGCTGACAAATTACCCAATACTGAACTAGGCAGATTAGAAGGCTCGCTGTGAAATCAGTTGGTGGTAGTGTTGAAATTTAATTAGACTTAGGGAGATATTATATATTATTATAACTGATGGCAATTGAATGTTTTAATATAGGTGGAAATCCTACATTCTCTGCTGTAAATTTGTACCATTTTCTTTCTTTTCTTTGACAGTGGTGGAAAACACTCTTAACAGAAAATACAAGGCCCTTTCTTTCATGAATTTAATGACACAAGGAAGGTACTACAAGATTTCTCCCCTCACTCATCTTTACCTCAGCTGAATTTGTATGTCATCTTATGGTACATTCACTCTTTCTAATAGATTATAAATTATGAATTCATAATGTCTTACATCACTATCACACATCAGAGGCCATCTGTCCACAAGTGTCATCAGAGATCTTCTTTGGTGCTTTTCATCTGTCCAATCCATCTTCCTTCATTCCAATTAGTGAACAACAAGCAATTAACTAGTATATCTTTGATGTATTTCTTTCTTTTCAAATTTCACTTTAGTTTCAAAATGTTTTGCTTATCCAGGTTAAGTCCATGGACAAAACACAAATTAAACTGTTAGATTATCATGTCTCAATGTCAAAAGATGGCCTCACATGCCAAATGAATGTTTTCTGTCTAGATCTCCAATTCTAGCATCTGTTTGAACAGCTTATAACTTGTTTCTACTAATTTTCTATATCATATACAGATAGTTTCAAAGTATAGGATTGTTTAGCCAAATTTATATTTTATAAAATTGGTACCATAATGTAAAAAAAAAATCTTATACATCTTTGTGCACTAGTTTTAAAATGTATATACTTAAATTATTCAATGGGACCTCTTTCACAAAAAAAAATGATTACCAAAATTCTTTTAATATAAGACTACTTTTCAAAAACTGAAAGAAAAATCTAGTGTCAATTGATCTGTATAAACATTTTTTTAGAGAATGTTGTTTTCTCTAAGGATTATAATGAATATTATTCCCTTAGACTTTAACTAAAACTTTAATTGTTAACATTGGATTTCATAATGCTAACAATGACAAAGAAACAGAAAAAGTTAATTTGCTCTGATGTAGGATAAGAATAATGTCTATACTACAATAAAAATAGATATATTTGGTTTCTTTGTTTTTTTTTTTTTGTTTGTTTGTTTGTTTGGTTTGGTTTGGTTTTTTTTGTTTTTTTTTTTTTTTGTTTTTTTTTTTTGATTTTCGAGACAGGGTTTCTCTGTAGTTTTTTGGTTCCTGTCCTGGAACTAGCTCTTCTAGACCAGGCTGGTCTCGAACTCACAAAGATCCGCCTGCCTCTGCCTCCCAAGTGCTGGGATTAAAGGCGTGCGCCACCACCGCCCGGCGTATTTGGTTTCTGACATATAAACAAAATAACCTTATTTGATTTAAACTGATATTAAGGATATAGAAGTACAGAAAGCCAACTTAAAGGTTTGACATACAAACCCATGACCATGTGGAACATGGAATCTGCTGAAAATAAATAATATTAATATTTAATATAACCTTCATTCTTATCAGGGAGTCTCAATAAATATCCAAAGATGTTGGCGTTCCGAGACACCACTCCTTCAGGGGACAGTAGTATTCATAGTGAAACTGCTCAAATTCTGGTTTTTGCATAAGAAAGAGAGATCAATACCTGACTCCAAAAGGAGGAGGATCAGGGGAAATACAAACAGCAGCAGTCCCAGGCCCACCACCAGGAGCCTGGTGCAACACTTGACTATAGGGTTGGCCCATATACGGCCGGTCAGGATGGAGTAACTCCATGACATAGCCTTACGAGTTTCCTTCAGCTCCTCCTCTTCAGCCATCAAAAAGGCATTTTCATCTGTTTCCAGTTCCTCAAAGGAATCTGTATCTTCTCTTTCTAACTTGAGCCTAGATGAACAGTCAAAGAGCACATCGATTTCATCGTCATCCACTGGCGTATGGAACAGCCTGGCACTGGGATTGTATGCTAGTTCAGAGATGGTCAAGGGGTCTTCTTCTAATCTGTCTTCCTCTTCACTCAGAGGATCTGCCCACTGAGTTCCATTCTCGTCTGAGTTGGCAATCAAGGGTTCAGAAACATCCACTTTAGGTAGTGGAGCACCTGGAAAGAAACATTATTTTATAAATTTTATATTTCAGACATTCTTAATTCACAAAATAATGGATATAGAAACATATAGAGCTCAAAGTATACACGCAACTGTTCTGTGGAATGTTCACTTTATACAAAATTGGTTTAACAACAGACATTATTCTATAAGTTTTTGGCTCAACAAGATAAACCTAAAAAAAAAAAACAGTAATCAAAAGTTGCAAGTACCTTTAAGATTTTGAGCCTGGTCTGTGACCTCCAACTATAGACAGGTTTTTAAAAATAATGTTGGCATAATTCAGATATACATTATAATTATGAGTGAAATATTGCAGTATTCAATACTATAGCACGATATAGTATTTTTAAGAGAACACTAGAGTAAAATTATAGATTCTACTGTTCACTAATAATCACATTATACTTCTGAGTCATATTTTCTAGTCTTCATTCTATTACAATTTTGTGATAGCTTTATGGATTTGTATTGATATTTTCTCAAAGTTAAAACATTATACCTTGGACAGCAGCTTCTTAAGACTCAGAATGGTCCAAAGAAGTCATTCTCAACCTTCATAATGCCATGACCTTTTAGTATAGTTCCACTTATAGTGGTGACTCTCAATCATAAAGTTATTCTGTTGCTAATTCATAACTGTAATTTTGCCACTGCTGTGAATGGTAATGTAAATATCTGATATGCAACTCCTTGGGGTCACAACCCACAGGTTGAGAACTGCTGGTCTAAAGGGTGCTCAGTATGACTCAGTAACTAAACAATTCTAAACATTCAGAAAGTCTCTGAAACTGAGGTCTCTCCTTCCCCAAGATTATATATGACTGAAGACAGTTGAAAGAAGCTCCTAGACAAGTAAAGAAAAGTAAAGACAACTTGTGCTGAGAAAACTCTCAGAACAACTGAGTTCACTGAAAGAGAAGGACCAGTTAAACTGCCTGGAAAAGGATCAGACTGACTGGGATACCTGGAAGAGACATTCTCTAACCTGTCAAGCTACCTACAAGTCATGCAGTGGGCTTCTATTCTCCAGATTTTATCAGTTTTTACCAGTATTGGGATGGGCTTTTAATGGTGCAGCTGTCTTTGAGTAAATTTTATTCCTATAAGTAACCCCTGACCCATATTTCTGTAAATCATGCCATTAAATTCATTGGTTAACCAAGTTGAGCTTAGGTGGCATCCTTATATTAGATCTTCATGGGATGAATGTTGCACAACATGGATATTGAATATAGACTGATTGAATATAGACACGAATCTGATTCATGAACCCAAAATCTGAAAGACTCTGACATCCAAAGTAGTTTAGTATAAAAATGTTCAGAAATTTCAGTCCTTAGAAGATTTTGGATTTCAGAGGAATTTTAATCTTAAGTTTTCAGTATAAAGACATTCAGTTAGTAAACTCAAAGAATTTATTTCCAAATTTGGGGAAACACTCTGAAATCTGAAATACTTGTATACCAAGACATTTTTTTGTGAAGAATATTTAATCTGTTATTGTAGCCACACTGTGTTCAAAAAGTTACCATTTGCTACTTTCATTTATCATTTAAACATTTTCCTGTGGAAACTTGTGTTTCATTAACATGGAAAATTAGTTGTTCTTAGTCTGGTTGTAGAAAAATTGTCCCAGGAGCTACTTTTACATATAAAGTTTATTTCCATCATACTTGAGTCTATTTCTTTTAGATGTATATCCAAAATTCAAACCTCTTGGTCAAGGGTATGTCCTTCAAATTTTATTGAGAAAGATGTGTTTCTCAACACATGGAAAATGCAGCTACCTTCATTCTGTCTTAGAGACTGGATCTCCTTATTGAGTCTTAGGTTCTCAATGAGAACTAAGCAAAAAATCAAAGGTATTCTCTCTAGGACAGACAAGCATCTAACTACCAAACAAACTGGTAAATAGTTTACAATTTCTTTGTCATCAAGGCATGTAGGAGAGAGGGTTTTTTGCTTTTATTTTTCAAAAGTCAATAGATAATTTTTGGTAGATCTGAGGTAAGAGCAGCACCCAGTCTTAATAAAAAGAACTATTAAAATAATCCCTGAAAACATTAAAGTAACATTTTACAGTCTGAGTAGAAGTACACACAAATACACACACACAGAGAGAGAGAGAAAGAGCGAGCGAGAGAGAGAGAGAGAGAGACATATCAACAAAGAAAAAGTGACCATGAATTTTGAAGAGATCAAAGGGGTAAGTGGGACAATTTGGAGGGAGACAATAGAAGGGAGAAATGATATTATCATACTATAATCTTAAGAAATTAAAATAGCCCATATACTAATGATTACTAAGCCTCAAGAAATGTATTAGCTTCATAAATCATTAGGTAACTACAAATCAAAACTACAATATTATAGAACCTCAGGGCTACTCAGTAGTTTTTTTAAAAAAATATGTAATTGTTGGTGAGAATGTGGAGAAATTTTAACTTCGTATATTGCAAGAAGGAATGTAATATGTTCAGTCACTATGAACAATATTTTGGTGGTTTCTCAAAAAGTCAAATCTATAATTATCTGCCATATGACCCATATTCCCCTCATGAGTGCATTCTCAAAAAAATCAAAAAACCTTTAAATAAGTACTCCAAAAATTTTCATAGACAAATATTCACAGAAATTAATATAATTGTTAAAAAAGTAAAAATTCCCCAGATGTTTTTCAGTGGATGCCTGTATAAAAAAAAGTATGGTCTGTCTATTTAACAATATATCATCTGACTTATAAAATAGTGAAGTGCTGATCAACAACACAGCACAGAAAAATATCAGAACTATATGCTCAGTGAAAGAAGTCAGACACCAAAGGTCACCTCATGTAGTTTTTCACTGAAATAGCAAACGTTTGAAAAATTACAGAAAGAGAAAACATTATGGTGGGAGACACAAAGAACTATGGGAGGAAAGGCATGTACAGCAATGGTAATAGTAACTGTTTAAGATGTCATATTATAACACTATGGGAAGTCAGTGCAGGAACTCAAGGCAGTAACTAAAGAAGTTGTAGAAGGGTGTCACTTACTGACTTATTCCTCATTGCTTGTTCAACCTGCATACTCATACAGCTCATAATCTCAGCTCAGGGATGACACCACCTACAATTGGCTAGACCCTCCCACATCTATCATTAATCAAAAAAAAAGCAATAGACTTACCTATAGGCCAATCTTAAAAATATATTTCATGAATATGGGTGTTTTGCCTACACATATGTCTGTGTCCCATGCATGCCTATGGCTTACAGAGGCCAGAAGATGTTCTTGGATCCCCTGAAACAAGCTACAGACGTTGAAGAGTGTGAGTGCTGAGAATTGAACCAGAGGACTCTGGAAGAACAGCCAGTTCTCTTAACCAACAAGCCGTTTTTCCAGCTCCTGTAAGCCAGTCTTATGGAGGTGACTTCTAAATTGAGTCTTCTGAAATAATTCAAGTTTGTGTCAAGTTTACATAGAACTAATGCAATTGACCCTTTGTCAAACTGACATGCAAACACATCACTATTTATTCATAGACTTTCCTTTTTAAAAGTGCTGTCTTTAAAAACTCAAGGTCTCCTTAAAAGTTCAGTCTCAATAAAAAATCTAAAATCGTTCTAATATTGCAAAGTCGCTTAACTGTAAGTTTGTTGGCTCCTGGTACTTGGGGAGAGCAAGTTAAGTACTTTCCCACTCTGAGCGGGAAGGGCAGAACACCGTTATAGTCAAAACAAAACAAAACAGAATTCCAGCAGTGCGAAGCTCAGTGTCAGATGGCTGTGACTTATGATCCTCTAGTCTCCAAAGGGCCTGGACTGCTCCTCTTGTCTGGCTCTGCCGCAAACAACAGGTGCATGACTAATAGGCTCGGGCCAGCTTCACTCCGCATCTGCTGCTGTCTTTTGTGGTCATCCAGGGTATTTATATCACCAGCATGCTGTGGTCTCCCCTGCAACTGAGGCTGCACACTCACTAATGGACTCTCCTGACATCTCTTCAGGGATTCTGACCCTGCTATGTGGTGTCAAACCTCAATTTCTTTCCAGGATCTCTAAGCCTGAGATCTGCTCTGCAGCTGAGGTTGGACCATCACAAATAGCCTCTCCCTGTTTCTCACAGTGCCAAGCCTTTGCTGCTCCCCATGAATGGTCTCTTAGTGTCTTCAAAGTTAGTAATATCTGGGAAACTCATACATATTACCAAATTTGGCTCCTGTCATAGGCTTGATCCCTATTGAGAACAATTTCTGTTTGCTAAATCTAAAAATACTTCCTAGAAGATTTTACCTTGATGCTGGTCTCTTCTTAATAACATCTCATTCTTTACCCCTATCTAACCAATATTGCCTATACTAGCAAAGCAAAGATTCCACTATGGATTTTCTCATCTCTTTTTTTTGTTTGTTTGTTTGTTTTTTATTTATTTTTTTAATTTATTTATTTATTAAGGATTTCTGCCTCCTCCCCGCAACCGCTTCCCATTTCCCTCCCCCTCCCCCGATCAAGTCCCCCTCCCTCATCTGCTCGAAGAGCAATCAGGGTTCCCTGACCTGTGGGAAGCCCAAGGACTGCCAACCTCTATCCAGGTCTAGTAAGGTGAGCATCCAAACTGCCAAGGCTCCCACATAGCCAGTACGTGCAGTAGGATCAAAAACCCACTGCGATTGTTCTTGAGTTCTCAGTGTTCCTCATTGTCCGCTATGTTCAGCTAGTCCGGATTTATCCCATGCTTTTTCAGACCTAGGCCAGCTGGCCTTGGTGAGTTCCCGAACATCCCCATTGTCTCAGTGTGTGGGTCCTGAGTTCCTTGCTCGTGCTCCGTCTCCTTCTGCTCCTGATTTGGACCTTGAGATTTCTGTCCGGTGCTCCCATGTGCGTCTCTGTCTCTGTCTCCTTTCATCGCCTGATGAAGGTTAATATTCATGAGGATGCCTATGTGGATTTTCTCATCTCTTGTTAATGACAACTAATTCTTCAATTCCAGCTGACCAGGACTATAGACTCTTAACTCAAAATATCACATAATGGTCCTTATAGTATTTGATTCTCTCTGATGTTTCATCAGCATGGCCTCCATCATTTGTACTGCTTGTAGCCTTATCTTCCAAGTTTCCAAATAGTCCATTAATCTCAAGGCCTTCTGTGGCTTTTTTAGCTCAACGTTCCATACTCCTTCTATACCCCCCCCCAACACACACAACACATGTTCAGGTCTTTTGGAGTAATATTCTACTCTCTGGAAACAATGTATATCTCACTGAGGAAAGGATTTATTTCATCTTACAACTCTCTGTTATAGTCTATAACTAAAAAGTCCTCAGGGTAGGAACACAAGGTAGGAATCTGAAGACACATGCTGTAGATGAGTGTTGCTTGCTGAATTGTTTCTCTGAACTTGCTCAGTTTCCTTTTTATACAGAACCATTGGTCCAGGGCTTCACTGCCAATAGTAGGCTTGACCATCCCACATGAACCATTATCAAGAATTAATTAACCAAATTAATTAGCCATAGATTTTACTATAGGTCTTTTGTATGGCAGCACTAACTAAACTAAGAGTACTACTTCTCAACTGACTTTAGCTTGTATCAAGTTGATATAAACCTAACCAACAAAGACTCTTTTGGCAATGTTGGAAGTGAAAAAATCACAGCAAAGGTCACTGTTTTGATGTAAAAAGCCTGCCAACTGGAAAAGTTGTGAATGGACATAAAATGAAACCTTTTTCAACAGTTGCTTCTGGACTTCTCTTATGTTTAAAATTTTACCTTTTATTATTTAAAGCAGAGTCAATTATGATTCTCTGTTAATTGCTCCTGGTGACAACATAGCTTCACAGCTATCATGTCACCATGTAGATCTGTTTATCATTATAACCATTGCGGTGGATTTATTTTGGCCCCCTTTTTATTAAATCTTTACATTATAATGATGTGGGATTTCCCTCTGTATGCTGTGATTGCCATTTATGAATAAAAAACTGCTTTGGACCTATAGCAGGGAAAAACTTAGTTAGGTGTGGAAAACTAAAGTGAATGATGGGAGAAAAAAGAGCAGAGTCAGGGAAAAGCCATGTAGCCCCTCTGGAGCCAGACAGAACTTTACCTGGTAAGCCACAGCCACAAGGCAATATACAGATTACTAGAAATGGGTTATGTAATTAATATGTAAGAGTTAGCCAATAAGAAGCTAGAGCTATTGGGCCAAGCAGTGATTTGATTAATACAGTTTCTGTGTGATTATTTTGGTTCTGGGCAGCAGAGACGATCAAGCGGAGAGCAGCCAGGAACCAACGAGTGGTCTCTTTACTATATTATAAAAGGTGAGGTCTTGAGATTTCTACTACAGAAATGACTGTGTATGATGGTGAAGGTATAAAATGGCAAAGCATTAAAAGATTTCTCACCAGTGTGAAACATGCCAAATTCTCACTGTTCATCAGACTCACTCTAGCAGAATGAGAAATATGAAAGTATGAAGTATGTCTTATATTTCCTCTATTTCCTAGGGTAAGATTGTGTACACAAAACAAAATAAACAGGGAATTCATGAGAGTTCAGCAAAGATTTCAAAAGCAAGATCGGTATTTTAAAGGCAGTGTGACTCATGGCATATCAGTCTAAACTATTTAAAAAGATAATAATTGACAATCTCGTTCAAGATCCCTAAATTTGCAATACTCAGTAAAATTCATAATAAGAAATGTATAAAATGAGAACAATGTTAAAATGTAACTGAGCATATCAATAGATGAGTGACCATGATGACATTTTTCAATAAGAGGCCTAAATGGTTCAAAAATTCAGTTCTCCTTTTAATCTAAAATTCATCACAATCTTAAAAACTAATTACAATTTTTTATAAACAACAGAAGGTAAAATATTACAGGAATATTTAAAACCAAAAATTTAAAATTTTAAATATATCAAATAACTTATATAATTTAGTGTTAAACGATGTCCTTAGATGCTTATGACTAAAAGAGAAGAATCTGAAAAGGCTGCATCCTGCATTATTCCTATAATGTTACAGTCTAGAAAAGAAGATGGATATTTTTAAGTGACTGCCACTAGTTGAGAAAAAAAAGTAATTAGTAAGAGTAGCAAAGAGGATTTTAGGTCAGTGAAAGTGTTTTGTATGATGCCGTATTGATACGGACCTGGCCAGATTTATAACATATACAACACAAAGAAAGAGCCCTAGTACAAACTCTGGGTTCTAGGCAATACTTTTGTGTCATCTAGAAAAGTATATCACTCTGGTAAAGGATGACTACAGGAACTTCTTATGTTTCTAGAAAAACAACAACAACAAAAAAAGGAGCTTTTTTTTTTTGACCCTAGGTTATTGAAACTAGAGACTAGTGTGTAAGGCATGAATCTACCACTGACCTACACCTCCAAGCATTTTATTTTGAAATGCGAAGTAAACAATTATAAGGGATTTAGTAGTCATGTTAGGATCATACATTCTCATACTTTTGTTAGTGTCTTTTAAAGACAATTGGATAATTTTCATCAAATTTGTATTCTATAGTCTAACAAATATACTTTTAAGAATGATAGAAAATACCTGTCTAACAAATATACTTTTAAGAATGATAGAAAATACCTGTTTCAAAATTATTTTCGTAAATATTATGACCAAAAATGAAGAAATGCTAACTTCCAATGATAATTTTGTGGTTAAGTAGTGAATTATTATTTCTCTACATTATATAATTTTTCTATATTATTTTGTCATTTTTGAAAAGATTCATATTAATATATATTAATATGGAAATTCTTTTGGTAATCATAAGTTTAAAAATGCCTTAGAAAATACTACACCTAGAACAATTCTATTCATAAAGTATACCTTATGTGCATTTCCAATATTCCTGAACTTGTTACTGAGAATATTAATACACAAGAAAAGATTGTTCATATTTGTGCTTTTGAAAGTAAGATGGACATAATGCTTGTATCTATAAATCACAGAATTCAGAAGGTTAGAGGAGGAGGATGAGTTCCCAGCAACTTCTATGCCACACAGTAAGTTACAGGCTAGCCTAGGCATGCAAGCCTTCCTCAAACAAAACAAAGCAAGAAGTTTATTGACTTTAGAACAGGAACACATCAAATGTTACTTATATCATCACAAAAATACAGTTAATCTCAACTAAGAAGGCAATTTTATAAATCTTAGTAAGCTATGGCTAATTCCAACTAACCCTCCAAATAAATTTTCCTGTAACCATTTGCTGAAAAACACACAGAAACATAAGAACATATAATTACAGCAAGATTGTGGCTGATGATCTGACTTTAAATTTCCATTTCAGTTTCTGTTTCAATTTCTCAGATCATGATAACATAAAACATGATCATTATCGAGACAAAAATTGGCATAACACCAGTTTGATGGTGGTTATTTAGTTGCTTTTTATTTTATCCATTTAGTTTTAATTTAACTCATATACACATGCATGTTTCTCTCTGTATGTGAGCTTGCAGAGGCCAAAAGAGGGCCTGGTATCTTATTTTGATAAAATTCTGATTTGAAGTTTAAAAAGAGGGTCTGCCTCATAGTCAGAAACTGTCATAATGAGAGGCAGAGAAGTCTTTTGATTACTTATTATGCGTTATAAGCATCATCTCTTACTAATAAGCAAGCTACAGGAATGCACAGCAGGATATTCTCTTGTATCTTTTGAATAAAGAAGGTAATTTCTATTATTTTGTTGGACAAGAGAGCTTGTCTTCCTATTTCCCTTCTCACTTACTTGTTTACAGTCCTCAGTACCCTTCATTATTTTCTTCCTTCCCATTTTCTCCCTGTATATCTTCTCTTCTTATTAAAAAAATAAAATAAAACTGTATGCCACATGCATTCTTTGCTTCTCTCTGGCTCACCAGTGGTGAGCATGTATCTGGAAGTAATCCCACTTATCTAGGCATAGGAATGACAGCCCAGGGCAGGGCGAAGCACGTACCAGCATTTCGAGGTATGACCTTGGAGCCATGTTTTAGCAGACGGACAAACACATTACTGCTGCAGTGGTTCATCATGTGCAAGTGGAGGCTTCGTTGAGTCCGTATCTTGACCAAACATTTTGCCATATTTAATATTATGATTTTCCTAAGGCTCTGTTGTCAGTTGTGGCCCTGAATATATGCAACCAGCAACAACAGCTTTGACCTTTTGCTCGCTGTCCATTCTGTTTCAAATGACTAAGGCAGAACACACAGAGAATGAATCAAATGTCAGCTTCTTAATGTGGCCAACAAAAATAACTCACTAGGGATACACATTGGGCAAGGAGGGAGGGAGGAGACACTATTAATAAACTCTCACCCCTCCTCTGGTGAACAGTATAATTTTACGCCTAGTTCTCACTTAGTTTTTTTTTTTAACACATCACAATAAAAAAATCTCTGCCAAGTGTCAAAAGCCCCTCGCATAAAAGAATATTCCCCAATTCTACACTGTAAGAAACAATTTACTTTCATTTCATTTCTGACATATTTAATAAGCCTCCATTATGTTCTAGAGCAGATTTTCCCAATAAAATATAATGCAAGTATTTAAGCAGTAGGCTACAATTATAGTTAATAATGTGTTTTATTTGAAAACAGGATATCCCAAATAGTAGTTTCAACATGAAATGATTTGTTAAGCTGTTCTCAGTATGCAATGAGACAAATATGTTCAACACGTAAAGACAGTTTCTACTGAGACTAGCCACTGCTGGTGGTGTTCAGCATCCACATGCAGCAAGTATGTGGAACTACACTGCTCTCCCCACAATGGCGAATTCTTGGCATACTCATTTCCACCCTGTCACTATGCCAACTCTGCCTTCCTTTTATAGACATGGCTTGTGAAGAAAAGTGACCTACACTAATTCATGAAATCAGTAAGTGTCAACAGCATGTTGAACCTTGGCATTCTAACAATAACAGGTGACTGAAATATAAATCTCCATATTGACAGCTGTCGGGGCTTGAATTAGGAGCTATAACGTGCTTTAAATGCAGGGGTCAAGTATCACATTCTCCTTACACTTTGAAACACTTAGACTTGTGCGTCTTTTAGAAATTTGCTTGTACTCCATCACGGTCACTAAGGATACATTCTCATGTTTAGGACATGCTACATAATTGAAATTTTTTGACTGATTAAGAACAATACATTGGACAGTTTCACTTATGTTTTTCTGGTATATTTCTTATCCATTGATATCAAAAGAAAAGTTTTCACATTGTTTCATCATGCATTCATACCCTTTTCCATTTCTAATAGCTAAGTTACTGACAAAGATTTTATAATGTCAGGAGACAAAGGGTTTACATTTAGAACCATCATTTGAAATTCTATATTGGTATATTTCCTTATAAACTAAAATTAATAGCATTTATAAGAAGAAGCTTAGCAAACTTATTGACTTTTATAAGTCTGGCATTCCTTAACTTTAAATTCCACATTTAGATATTTGTTTTGAAAGAATATTCAGAAATGTTGACAAAAATATTCATCAAGGCATCATTTATTGTATCAAAACACAGCTTAAATTTTCAATGGAAACATTATTTAATATATTCATAGATATTAAAATTTATGTTCATAGGAACTTACTGATTTGAGAAAATGTCTATAAAATACTACAAAATGAAGAAAGCATGTTTATATAAACAGAAGAAATTCAGCCATGTAATCATATACTCAGGAAAAAAATAAGAACCTAGAATCAATTCTAAAGACAAGGGCACACTTCCCTAAAATGGGAAATAGTAGAGATCACACCTACAGACACCACAGGGCCGGCTACTCCAGCTCATGGGTTAGTAGTTCCAGGAAAAGTAATAAATCCTATGCCAATAGAGTGAGTCAGTTTTCAGATTTGAGTACTGAGCCAAAAAGTTTAAAATTTCAAACCCCAAATTGTCATACTAGAAATTTATAAATTTTTTACCACTTTAAATTCCTTTTTTATATAATTCAGGGTAAAAATCCCTACGTAAAAAATAGATATAAAACAAAAAACAAGGTTCTGGAATAGTGACATTATTCCTTCCTCACTTCTCACCAGCAATAGTTCTTATAGATATTATTAAAAAATATTATATTGGTCTTTCATGCACACGACCCCCCCCCCAAGCCTGCGTTTTCTGCTGGGTCCTTTGCTTGGGAACAGTTTTCTCCTCCTACACTGGGGCTGCCCACCCAGAGCGGTGAGTGCCTGCCTACCATGCGGGCCTCAGGGACCCCCCCCTCGCCCCAAAAGGGAACATGCGCACCTCCAGCTTTGCCGGCAGGGTGTCCTGTGTTCTACTCGCCCCCACCCTGCCCCCCAAGTTCTCCTTTTATCTGCGGGTCATTGGACTACCAGGCATCTATGTTTCCGTGCTGAGGAGTTCCATCTGGATGGGTGAGTGTGTGCTATCCAGGGGCGGACTGTCCTGGAAGAGAGCACAGTTTCCCCTCACCCAGCTTCTTCTGCAGGGCTGTCTTTCTTGCAGACGACCCCCCCCCCCAAGCCTGCATTTTCTGCTGGGTCCTTTGCTTGGGAACAGTTTTTTGCTCCTACACTGGGGCTGCCCACCCAGAGTGGTGAGTGCCTGCCTACTGGGCTGGCCTCAGGGACCCCCCAACCCCGAAAGGGAGCACGCGCACCTCCAGCTTGCCGGCAGGGTGTCCTGTGTTGTACTAGCCCCGCCCTGCCCCCCAAGTTCTCCCTTTTGTCCGCGGGACATTGGAATACCAGGCGTCTAAGTTTCAGTGCTGAGGAGTAACATCTTGACAGGACGGTTCCTGCTTCTACACTGAAGAGATACACCCAGAGAGTCAGTCACAACAAAGACTGGACCAAGACACCAGGCCTCTCCTGGCTCCATTTGAAGAAAGAGATGGGAAGGCGCCAATGCAAGAATTCCTCCAACAACCTAAAAGGCAAATGGACTCAACTCACCTATAAAAAGGCACAGGCTAAGAGATTGGATAAAAAAACAGGATCCAACATTCTGCTGTTTACAAGAAACACACCTTAACCACAAAGACAAGCACCTACTCAGAGTAAAGGGATGGGAAAAGGTTTAACAAGAAAATGGACCTAAGAAACAAGCAGGTGTGGCCATACTAATTTCTAACAAAGTAGACTTCAAATTTAAATCAATCAGAAGAGATGGAGAGCCACATTTTATACTCATAACAGGAACAATTCATCAGGATGAAGTCTCATCCTGAATATCAATGCCCCTAATATAAAAGCACCCCACGTACGTAAAAGAAACATTACTAAAACTCAAGGCTGCCATCAAACTGCACACACTAATATTAGGAGACTTCAACACTCCTCTCTCACCAATGGACAGGTCAATCAGACAGAAACCTCACAGAGAAATAAGAGAATTAATGGAGGTAATGAATCAAATGGACTTTACAGACATCTATAGAAAATTCCACCCAAATAGGAAAGAATATACCTTCTTCTCTGCAGCTCATGGAACCTTCTCAAAAATTGACCACATACTTGGTAACAAAGCAAACTTCCACATTTACAAAAAAATATGTGTAACCTCCTGTGTCTTATCAGATCACCATGGATTAAAGTTAGAAATCAACAACAATGTTACCCCCAGAAAGCCTACAAACACATGCAAACTGAACAGTCAACTACTGAACCACACCTGGATCAAGGAAGAAATAAAGAAAGAAATTAAGTCTTCCTTGAATTCAATGAAAACAAAGAAACAATCTACTCAAACTTATGGGACATTATGAAAGCAGTCCTAAGAGGAAAATTCATAGCACTAAGTGCCCACTTAAAGAAAACAGAAAAAGCACACATTGGAGACTTAACAGCCCACCTGAAAGCTCTAGAAAAAAAAGAAGCAGACTCACCTAGGAGGAGTAGAAGACTGGAAATAATCAAACTGAGGGCTGAAATCAGCAAAATAGAAACACAGAAAACAATCCAAAGAATCAATGAAACAAAAAGCTGGTTCTTGGAGAAAATCAACAAGATTGATAAACCCCTATCCAAACTAATCAAACGACAGAGAGAGAATATGCAAATTAATAAGATCAGAAATGAAAAGGGGGACATAACCACAGACACAGAGGAAATTCAGAGAAATATTAGATCTTACTACAAAAGCCTATATGCCACAAAACTGGAAAATGTAAAAGAAATGGACACATTTTTAGATAAATACCATATACCAAAGTTAAACCAGGACCAGGTGAACAATCAAAATAGACCTGTGAGTTGTGAAGAATTAGAAGCTGTTATCAAAAACTTCCCTACAAAAAAAGCCCAGGACCAGATAGTTTCAATACGGAATTCTACCTGAACTTCCAAGAAGACCTAATACCTATAACCCTTAATGTATTTCACAATATAGAAACAGAAGAGGCATTGCCAAATTCCTTTTATGAAGCTACAGTTACTCAGATACCAAAACCACACGAAGACTCAACCAAAAAGAGCATTACAGGCCAATCTCACTCATGAATATCGACGCAAAAATCCTCAAACAAAATACTGGCAAACCGAATCCAAGAACACATTAGAAAAATTGTCCATTATGATCAAGTAGGCTTCATCCCAGGGATGCAGGGCTGGTTCAACATACGAAAATCTATCAATGTAATCCATCATATAAATAAACTGAAAGAAAAACCCATATGATCATTTCATTAGATGCTGAAAAGGCATTTGACAAAATTCAACATCCCTTTATGATAAAAGTATTGGAGAGATTAGGGATACAAGGGTCATACCTAAAAATAATAAAAGCAATATACAGCAAGCCGACAGCTAACATCAAATTAAAAGAAGAGAAACTAAAAGCCATCCGTCTAAACTCAGGAACACGACAAGGCTCTCCACTCTCGCCATACCTCTTCAATATAGTGCTTGAAGTTCTAGCAATAGCAATAAGACAACATAAGGGGATCAAGTAGATTCGAATTGGAAAAAAAGAAGTGAAACTTTCGTTATTTGCAGATGATATGATAGTGTACATAAGCGACCCCCAAAACTCCACCAAAGAACTTTTACAGCTGATAAACACTTTTAGTAATGTGGCAGGATACAAGATCAACTCCAAAAAATCAGTAGCCCTCTTATACATACAGGATATGGAAGCAGAGAGGGAAATCAGAGAAGCTTCACCTTTCACGATAGCCACAAACAGCATAAAATATCTTGGGGTAACTCTAACCAAGGAAGTGAAAGATCT